GCAAGTTCATAACCCGGGGAAAAATTTTCCTGCGGAGGTGGGTCGTAACCCGAAATGTTCGTTAGTAGAGGCATTCGTATCCCGAGGTACCACTGTACTTGGAGTGGCATACAGTATAGCCATATTTACAACCCTGGCTAATCTTCTAGACTATTTACTTCTATGGAGCTTCTAAAGTCCCCCGAACTACGCAAATATATCTTCTAAGGCTTAATCAGGTCTCTACTGGTTTGCTACATCTATTCAACCTGCCCAAATGATTTAAATTTCTCTTTCTGATTTGCATGGAAATATTTTAGCAGTTATTATCTTTCTTCTGAAAGTAAACATGCTTCATGTAAATTGCTTTTTTTTAATTGAAAAATTTATGGAGAATTTGTTATACAATCAGATTTTGTTCCGACTGATTGCCATTTTCTTCTAACCACTTCCTTACTCCTTTCCTTTCAACATTCCTAAATACAGTAACATTTCTCTGAAAAAAATTAATAAAATTCATAAAACGTATAGTGATTGGCCTGTGGGACCTGACATTTGCTATACCTTGTAAACATGTACATACCTGTTTCTCTTCCGTGCATCTCTTTTGACATCTCAGGAGATCTGAGAAACTCTCCTTCTTTCAACAGCCACACAAACCAGAGAAGGAAATACAAGTCGCCTTCCATACCCTCTTTTAATTATTTCCTTGTAACATGCACTGGCTTTCCCTTGACCTGAAATGTGTTCCAATCTGTGTTTCTCACAACATCCAATTTTAGGGTGAGAGACTTTTGTTTAGCAGAGCTCGCAGATAATCTCATCCACGTTTTGTTATCGACTGATAATATGACCACATCTGGCCCAGGCAGATAGGCGGTGATAATAAGAAAGACAGCCATTCTTTAGCTCAGCTAAAGAAATCTATACCTCGCTTCTAGCTCAGCTGGTCTTCAGACCAGGAGTGGGACAGCTGAAACTCAGGAGAAGTTGCAACTCCCAGCAGCTTCCTGCACCTTCGAAAGAGCTACATATAACTCAAAGGAGTCATGCCTGGGTTTTCACGCCCTTCTTTTGTGCCCCCATCATTTTATTTCTTTTGTAATGTATTTGTACGTGTCTGCATTGTAAATCTGAAGGTTTTTTGGTATTCTTGTCTGTACTGATCTTTCCTAAGATGATTGAATGCCTTTTGGCCCAGCCTCTGCTTCGATATGCAATGATGAGAGAATTCACCCCATTCCCCAGGTAATTTTCTGGCTGAAGGAGATTGGGCAAAGCTGTTTTAAATAAATAAAATAAAAATGAGCATGTTTTAAAATAGGGCTTCAAAAGGGCATGTAACTAAGCTGAGTGAATTGCAGTCACTTTTACAGCTCGGTGTGCAATGGACTTTTAATATCCGTGTGCATTGCTAGGCACAAGATTTGTGAGTCTTGAGAAAAGAAGGTGTCTAAATTTTCTAAATGGCTATAGAGCTAAAAGGAGAAAGGGCTTTACAGACAATCACCACCTTTCCAAGCAGTACAATGAAGATAGATGGAATATGTAGTCATTCCCCCATTTCTAAAGGGCAATACGGCTCTTCCTCATGCCCAAATTAAAGGACCATCCACCAGTCCTTTTGCTAGTGGAAAATTATAGCAGCATAAAATTTGCTGCCCCCACTGATTATCCTTTTCCTGCCACCTGCAGGAAATTGTCCTGTTGAATGGTTAGCGGCAACTCTTCATAAAGGGAGCTTCTTTTAAATGTGAAGCTGAAGCGGTGGTATTTATATCATGCTGAATATTAACCTCCCTTCAAATTCTGTGGCAATTAAAAATATCTAAGGTATATTAAAAATGTCAAACAGTTATGAGGTCACCATTTTGTCTAAAGTAGACATCACTTGGATCTCGGTCTGAGGAGCTTCTACTCCTGTGATAGAAGGAAGAAGATCTCAAATGACCCGGTCTACATAGGCTTCCTAGAATGGTGTCTTGAAACGTTCTTACGCCTTTCTTGAACAAAGGCAGATCCAAGGCAGTATACTTCCCAACCACACATGAAAGGCTCTTTTCTCCCACCATAGTGGGCCCACCATTAATATTCCTTATCCTTTCCACCACCACCCCCAAATATTGGAAATAAATAATATGGAAGAGCTCAAGATTCTGTTGACCTCTCTGTCCATTAGTAAATTTTTATGAGGGGAGAAGCCAGCAAAAGAAAAATAAAGTTCCAGAACAGGCCAGATTTGGCTGGGGCTGTAGAGAAAAATGTTCCAGAAAAGATTTCCCCAGGCAATGGCTCAGAATGATACCAACTGCTCCACGCTAAGTCCTTATCCATTCGCCTTCCTCATAACATGATCCAGAGTGAAGAATGTGCAGACAGCCCTGTGCTTCCTGTACCCAAACATATACCCAACATGAGAAGAAAGCAGAGACACCCATATGGTTACTTGTTATGCAGAGAAAATTGCAGAGGCCTCCTCTAGCCACCGCTGGCCCCCAATTTCGAACCATGTAATTGTATATTCCATTTTAACTTCCTGGTCATTATAGAATTTTTCAAGAGATACAGTAGATGAGGTGGCCTAGGATACCCATGGTTATAAGAGCGATCCGCAATTTATGATGTAGACAGTCAAAAGCCTTAGTAAGTCAATAAAGCCAAAACAAGGATCTCCTTGGAAGTCACTTGGTTCTTCCATTATTCCTAGCATTCTGATCTACATGCATAACATTGCTCTGTAAGGCTAAGAATTGCTAATTCAGAAAGGGGGAATTAATGAATATAGACACACGTGGGTCCATTAAATAGATCATCACTTCACATATCTTCACGCCAAGTATGCAGGCCTTGAAAAAACAATATTGGCGGCATTAAACAATAGAAAGAGAATATCGGATGCATACAAACTGTCGAGAGAACCAAGTAACAGAAACAAAGTAGGGAAAACATTCAAAACAGGACTTCTGGAATTCCTTCCAATCCTTTTAAAGAGGGCACCAAGATTATAAACTGTCCATTAACCTATATGCAGAATTGATAGCAATGGTGAGGTATTATTATAGTAAATGAATAGTGAGATTAGAAGAAATGAGCTGGGAGGAATATCAACCACTTTAGATGCTAATGATACTATTTTGATGGCTGGAAGCAAAGAAGACCTCTTGCTGAAGGAGAAGACATGGCAAATACCGGTCAGTTGAGCAATATGCAAAAGACTGAAGTTATGTCAACAGGGAAAGACAACCCAATGCATTTGAAGTGGTATCAATATTTAAATTCATATATATGGTGACTATAGCCAGGGAATAAACAGACACCTATTGCTTAGGAAAAAGACTATGACAGATCTGGGCCAGTTATTAGCGCAGAGACATTCTACTGATTACAAAGGCATGTCTTATAACATATGACTGTGAAAGCTGAGCCCTCTGAACTGCTACAAGAATTTAAACTGATGTCTTTGAATTGTGACGCTGGAGGAAGGGGTTGAGAACTCTGTAAGAAGAGCAAGTCATTCAACACTAAATGAAATAAAACCAGACTACTTGCTGGAAATCCTAATGGTGATAATCTTAAATACTTGGGACACATAAACAAAGGCATGATTCACTGATGACCCTTATACTTGCAAAGATGAAGGCAATCAAAGCAATGGCCAGCAGAAGACAAGGTGTGTAGATAACATCACTGATGATAAAAGCAGGTGCTTAGAAAAATTCAGAGAAGCAGTTATTGGCAGACCATCCTGGCCAGGTGACGTCCAGTGGATCATCAAGCGTTGAAAGAGACTGAATGACTGTGAAATGAAAGGCAAGATACATTTCATTCCATTGGTTTTTCTTCCAGGGATCTGTAAGATTATAGTCATTTACTGCCATGTACAGAGCTATGTTTCTGCACGGAAGTAAAAGACTGTACATGAAGTTCATTTTTTCCACTCCATAATGGAACTGCTAGCCTGAAAACATCCTGCTTGACATAAACACACCACTATTTTGAATATGCTGCAGATGTATGAGATATGGGTAGTCCTTGTTTCACGACCACCATTGAGACCGGCAACTCAGTCATTAAGCCAAGGGGTTGTTAAGTGAAGCCACAATTGTGCTTATGATCTTACTTCAGCTTTCCTTTGATTTATAGACCCACGAAGGTCATAAATGCAAGGATTGGTCACAAAGTTACTTTTTCATCGCTGCTGTAATGGCGAATGGTTGCTAAACGAGGCAGTCGGTAAATGAAGACTACCTGTACCACCAAGTAAGAGTGAGAGAGAGAAAGGGAAATTTATGATCTCTCAGGTCTTTGATTTATTCATACTCCCCTGACAGACGAGGTTTCAATCTGAAGATCTAAGTCTATCCCAGAGCCCACTTTTGCGATTGGAAAAAGCCACTTACAGCAACAGCGGCTGCCAGCACATCATTTGCATAACAAGCCATGCATAAATGGACTGATAATGCCTTGTGCTTGAGCAAATCTTGGGAGATCAGATAGAAATGTATGTGACAGCTTACTACTGGATTGAGAAATCTTGCATCCCATGAAGGGCTTTTGATGTAAACTTTACACAGTATAATTTTTGCGTTTGGCTAAAGTCCTGAGAGGCTATGGAGAAGGCGAAGCAACTCAACACCCATAGATAGCTGTTACTACAATACCTCTAACATTGCATTAAATTTAGCTGATCTTATTCCTCTTGCAAAGGAATTAAGCAAGACTGCATCCTGTCTTGCCTCTCATCTACATCATCTCAACGTCTATATAAACTCCATGGTCTCTAACCAAAAGCGACTTTTTGTTTTATTTATTTCTCAAATTTATATGACCACCCATCTCACAAAAAATGGGCGGCATGCAATAAACTGATAAAACAATACATATCTAAAACAAGCATTGCCTAAAAAACATAATATAATAATTATTAAAAACATTAAAAATTATACGAGCAGAACAAAAACAGAAAAACAAAAAGTAGAGGGATGTTAATGATATGCCAGAGCGCCGTTTCAGTTCCCGACATTGCCAACTAATCCATGGTTGTGCTCCTAGAGGGTTATCGTGATCCAGCCTTTCTTTCAACAATGCAGATTTTTGCCTCTTACTTTGCTGAAGAAAGCTTACTCCTAAATTTTACCAAAATGGAGGCGATGACTTTTGTGAAGAGACCTGTGAGACATAGGTATAGATAGCAGATTCATGGAAAATATATGGAACAGGTCAGGGCCTTTAGATATTTTAGGCTCGTTTTCCTGTCTTGGGCACTGGAATCTGCAAGTAAAATCTGCAGCAGAAACCCCATAAACACCCCAGCTATTCTTAACTTCTCTGCTAGAGGTGGTAACTTTATACTGGACGCTTTTAAGGTATTTAAAGCAAAAATAATTGTTCACATATACGGATTACAAATCTGGACCTACAAAGTCCATCAGGCACTCAAGGTTGTAGAATGAAAATATTTAAGGGCTTTTTAAAGATAGTGCCTTTCAAAAGCTTCCTTGGGCCTGGAATCAGATCTTTATGGAGACCTATGCATCCTTTTATCATTGATCCTATGGCCTTAAGCTGATATTCTCCTTTGGATTTCTGGTGGCTTTAAAACTTCAGAATGGATTTAAATCATCCTGGAAAAAGGCTATTGAAGAGACAGTGGTAGCTAAAGACTTTCTGCTTAACTTCTGATTCCACTGAGATATAAGAGTGAAAGCAGTTATAAGGGCATGAACACTCAACACTGATGCCCAAAAGCTCTGAGCATATTTCTGCCCATCCTTCTGAGCATGGGAAATGATGAAAGAACTTTGACATGTGCTAGCCACCCACCCCACATTATCCAGTCCAGCAAGGTCAGCTAGAGTGGGCCTGCTCCAAGTCCCATCGATCAAGCAGTGTCCCCTTGTGGGACCCAGGATGCACACCTCCTTGGTGATGGCAACTGCCCTGGGGATTGGTATCCCCCCACCATGAGACCCATACTGATCCCACCCTTTTGATTTTCCCCAAATGGTTAAAGACCTGGTTGTTCTCCCAAGCTTTATACTAGGACGGTGGTTGTTGAACTCTTTGTTTTTCCTTTGTTTGTTTTGGTTCTGTCTTTTGGTTAGCTACATTTCTTTTCTCTGATATATGTTATTTTCTTCTACATTCATTTTAAATTTCTAATATTAAGCCACCCAGAGTCACAATGGAATCAGGTGACCTCGAAATTGAAGAAATAAATCAATCCAGTGAAATCAAAGGAGACCTTTGTCTCTTGTGTGGTTTAGCACTCGTAGAGGGGAGATTTTGCATCATTCCACCTCAGAGGGTTATTTCCCTAGTGAAACAGACAAAATAAAGTGATGGGACACATACTAGTGCATTGTCCGCTTTACAAAGATTACGACTCCATTTTTGTGATATCTTTGCTAGCAGATGTAAACAGTAGGTCAGAAGAAATGTTTGTTTTACTGGTTAAGGGAGATTACCAGCAATACCATCAAATTCTGCGTCATGGCTATATATACTGCTTAGCAGAGACTGATGAAAGTGCTTCAGTGGTATTAGTTGTAATGCTACTTTATTGGAAAGAGAAAAGAAAAATCGTAAAAACTCCTTTTTGATGTTAATTATCCAAAACACATTCAGGGTTGGAGGACGTAATTAACACTTCTTTAAAAAAGAAAATGCAAAAGAAAATGTAAAGGTCTGAGCAAGCCACAAAACAGCACTGGTCTGCTATAAATAGGAGCACTCTCCTATTTTCTGCAGACTCCCAGAAGAAAGGTTGCATAGAGTCCAGATTAATATTCAAGTTCTAAGCAAATCCTAAAGAAAAGTTTGTATCTTCGTACACGGCTTGACATGTGAATAGTTTCCACACTCAGTTTCATAATTGGTGCAGAGGAATAAAAATATTACATTACGAGACTTTAGTAAAAAGCACAAAAACAAATAATCAACCAGATCAATCAATCAAAAAAAAAAAAAACCATATTTACCCATTCCTACAGAAATAGCCATTTTTCTGGAAGTGAAGATCCCCTGCTTTCTTCTACCTGGACTTCCCTTTTTCCTGGAAATTCCAAACTATAAGCTGAGACTGGTGGGAGACTGGACAGTTCTGTTTTTCCCAGCCCTGAGTACAACTTCTCTCAAAGTTCTGCCTCAAGATTTAAAACAACCACACTTTTTCTCTCTTTTCTGCAACGGAGGGGCTGGTTAAATCTTTTTTCATGGATGGATGTGACAGGATGTACTCACTCAAAAGTCCCTGCTGTGCTTATTCGTTGATAGAAGGAGCTAACAGAAGTAGGGGTAACACATTTTTCTGACAAATAGTAGCTTTCCCATAGGAAAAGTGGGAGGTGCTGCTGTGTTGGGAAGAGGGAGGAAAGAGCTG